CAGAGCAATTATGACTCTCTAAACTCTTTTTTTTTCCTCTTGCAGCAACCACGTCCCTCGGAAGAGCCCCAAATACTTGGCTTTGTTCAAGAACTACACTGCCTGGTAATGCAGAGCTGGGCTTTGTTAAACCCGGCTTTAATTCCTTTAATCCCCCTGGGAATCCCCTGGGCACTCACTCAGTCCCTTTTCTGATTTCCAGCACCTGGAAGGAGCTGTTGGTTATTTTGGTTTTATTTATTTATTTTTTTACCACACAGGAAAATAAATTAACTTATTAATAATTATTAATAATAATTAATAATAATTAACTTATGGCTTTAGGGATTTTGGGAGGGGTAAATCTTGGGATCTTGTTGGATTCCAGAGGGGGGTCATTTTTCGGGGGGGTGACATGTTTAATTATTAATGAGAAAATGGGTATATTTTTATGGCTGTATTTTTATTTCTGTTTTTTAATTATGGCTGTATTTTTATTCCTCTTTTTTATTCTGGTGTATTTTTATTTCTCTTTTCTATTATGTATTTTTATTTCTCTTTTCTATTCTGGTGTATTTTTATTTCTCTTTTTAATTACGGTCTATTTTTATTTATTTCTCTTTTCTATTATGGTGTATTTTTTTTTTATTTCTCTTTTCTATTATGGTGTATTTTCATTTCTCTTTTCTATTCTGGTGTATTTTTATTTCTCTTTTCTATTCTGGTGTATTTTTATTTCTCTTTTCTATTCTGGTGTATTTTTATTTCTCTTTTCTATTCTGGTATATTTTTATTTCTCTTTTTTATTCTGGTATATTTTTATTTATTTCTCTTTTTTATTCTGGTATATTTTTATTTATTTCTCTTTTCTATTACGGTGTATTTTTATTTATTTCTGTTTTTTATTGTGGTGTATTTTTATTTCTCTATTTTTTTATGCTGTATTTTTATTTCTCTCACCCCCCTTTTTCTCCCCTCCCCTGTTCCCCCCCAGTGGGGTGAAGCTCTCCTGTTCCTCCTGCCTCTTTGTCACCTCCGAGGGGGACTCCATGGCCAAGCACCTCGTCTTCAACCCCTCCCACGAGTCCAGCAACATCATCCTCCAAGGTGAGCACCCCCAGAAAACCTGGGAAAACCAAAAAAAAAGGGATTATTCAGGACATAATCCCTAATTCACAGCTGGGGGGTCAAACACCTCATCCTCCAAGGTGAGAACCCTTGGGAAAAATCAAAAAAAAAGGGATTATTTGGGACATAATCCCTCCATTCACAGACCTTTGTTTGGGTTTGGATGGGACCTGAATGGGCCTTTATTGTCATGGAGAGGGGCAGTTAAACCCCAGGATCTTTGGGATCTTTGGGATCATTGGGATCTCTGGGATCTTTGGGATCTCTGGGATCTTTGGGATCTTTGGGATCTCTGGGATCTTCCCATGGATCCACAATGCCAAGGGCTCCAACACTCCCTCTGCTCCTCAGGGACAGCTTTGTGTCCCAGGGACATCTTTGTGTCCCAGGGACACCCCGAGGTGACACCCCGAGGGCTGGGCAGCTGCCAGAGACCCTGAACAAACCCCAATAAACCCTGGAGAAACCCGGAATAAACTGGGAAAAAAACCTGAAAAAACCCCTGAATAAACTCTGAAAAAACCCTGAAAAAAAAGCTGAATAAACCCTGAAAAAAACCCTGAATAAACCCCGAATAAACTCTGAAAAAAAAGCTGAATAAACTCTGAAAAAAACCCTGATTAAACCCTGAAAAAAACCCTGAATAAACCCTGAAAAAAACCCTGAAAAAAACCCTGAAAAAAACCCTGAAAAAAAATGAAAAAAAAACCCCTGCACCGATTTGGTGTTAATTGCCCCGATTTGGTGTTTATTTGCTTCAGTATTTTATTTACTGAGCTCCAACCGTTTGTGTTTCCCTTCCAGGCCCCCCTTGGATCTCACATTCCAGGTAAACCCTCTCTGTGAACTCCCATTTTCCCCCTCAGCCCTCCCGGCTCGGGGCCGGTTTTTCCCGGATTTCCCAGGAACTGCCTGGGAATCCCAGGAAGGATTTCCCGGGAGGGATTTCCCAGGAATTCCGTGTTTCCCTCCCTCCCAGGC